TCAAAGATTCGGTTTTATTTCTGGTATCAGAAGATAATTCAAAGCTTTCTAATTACCGAGTAATTAACCTTACGCAAGAGCCGTGGCGAGTGTCACGTATTATTAACGTAACGTAAGATTCCGCTGTTAATTATGAGAGAACTTTCTCAACGGATTACACTCGTAAATCATTTTCTATGATATCTGTGTACGAGTAGATATTTAGAGCATCATCTAAAACAACGTTTGAAGGTAATGACTTGGTTGTTGATGAGAAGTTGATAAATTCCCTGATGCACACGTGGATAACAGCACCAACGCGTATGCGCATTACCGGTTTCAGCAACGCGCATTTTTTTCCGGTGCGATCGTAAAGATCGTAATGCATCGATCTTTTAGTCATAGATCATCGGCGAGTGATAGGTAGGTCGCATGAAGAACATTGTTGCAAGACTTATAGGGCGTGGGATACTCGACCGTGTTGATCTTACCGAGCGAAATGCGACTAAGTTTTAAGTTAATGATTGGCAAATGATAGTTGCAACGTAATTATATAATAACACTGTAGCTGTTTTCATTTTTGCAAGCATCAACAAAAAAGAACTAATGCGTTTTATGCATTCAAGTTATAATATTAAGTATACTAGATAGAAAAGACTGTCTGTTAACTAAGGACATGTATTTTGGAACTCATTACTTTTTTTAAACGATAACAAGATTTTTAATATTGGATGCTTAAGAAGCCAATACTAAAATTTTCTTTCCCTTTTTGTTGATTAAAATTTTCGTTATTGTTAAAAAAAAAATAATTAAATACATTTCAAGCGGCAACATGTCCCTATACGGAAAGAACGGTTTTGCTGAAATATCTAAAAATTTAACTAGATATATATAGATGTAAAAATAATTTTGTTGGATCATCAAAATAATTATGTAAAAAAAACTTAAGTAAAAAAAGCAATGTAACAAATTTTAATATTCATTTAGCTTGAGTGCACCCTATATTAATTATTTTAATTAAATTATTTTCAGATCTGTATCTAGTTAAATTTTTGTACCATAGTCTTCCCTACGAGATGGACGTGATTCTGTAGATTCTGTAATGTATGGTAGGTGTAAAATTAAATGGAAGAAGGGAACTATAATTCGCATTACAATTGTACCTCGCGTAATTTATCTTTATAACTGTTCCCATATTTCGGAGAGTTCAAAGAAGAAATTGGAATGGACGGAAGGTGCTTGCGCGGGGCTAAGTGAAATCTTATTTTCACCGGTACAGCCAATCTCCGAGAGACAAAACACGGGTGATGTGTCGGTAGGAACTTAATAATCCGCAGTTCCATGCATGCCCACAAGGCAAATAGGCGTATATCTATATCCGCGCTTCGCTACGTCACCATCGGCTCTAGGGAAGGCGGCGGCGATAGGACCGAAGCAGGATGCAAACCATTAAACAACAGCTCGCGGGGTGATAGATGGGTCGCATGCCGATCGTTCTTGTTGGCAAAGCCCATTAAAGCGCGTGGGTCCGACTCGAGCTCGCATTTACACCTGAGCTTCGACCACCACCATCACCACCACCGCCGTCGCCGTCAACACACGAGGCCCGACTCAGCGACCGAGAACGCCGACCAGACCAAGAAGGGCACGATGGAGGGTGTCAGGGGAACGGGAAAGCGAGAGAACTCGGGGCCCCGGGACGTGGCCCGCAGTTAATTGCCAGCATTTAATGAGCGCTCTTTGACGCGCCGCGCGAACCGCCACGGTAAGAGTTGTAATGGCCGCAGCAGCGCTTTCCTGACGACTTCGCATATCGTGCGTGCACCGGCTCTGACCAGCAAGCAAAAATTGCCACTCGCGAGAGTATTATCGGCCACCAACAGTAATATTCTCGCCCCGACGAAAACCGATACGATCGATTGAGATATTAGCGCAACTAAACTGCGAAGACAATATTAGCGAGATCGTTATATATTTCTTCCAGGCTTTCCAGTTTAAAAAGAGAATTCTTTAATAAATTGGATCAAGAGCGTAATTTCTTTACGATTTTCTTGCCTTTTTCGTCACGAAAACAAATCGTCACAAGCGTTCACATTCAGAATTGTTGTTCAATAATCGTTCAATAATCAGAGCTAATTTTACTTTCTTCGGAAATAAAATAAGATTAAACTTGAACTACTTTTTTGATTTTATATGTTAAATCTAATTTATATAATTATTGTAAATATATAATGAAAAATATATAGCAATTGGCTAAAAAGAAATAAAAATTTGTGTTCTGTCTTTATATACAATAAAAAAAATAAAAAATTTTAAAAATTTGAAGCAGGAAGAAAGAAGAAAAATTTAAGAACAAAAAATGTTTAGGAACTCGAAAGCATTCAAGAAGAAAGTAGGAAGAAAATCAAAGTATTTTCTTAAAGAAACCGAAAGGAAATAACAGCAAAAGACAGAAATGTCATTTCCCATATTTTCTTTCTAACATCATTTATAACATCTAGTTGGCAGGAAGCTACTTACTTAAACTGTGGTTGATCACAATAGCGTCGGCCCAATGACAAAGCTTTATAATCGCGCCTTCATTTTTTATGTGAGAACCGTTAGCAACCGACAAAAACGTCGCCATTTTGATTTAGTGACCACAATAGTGGTCATTGAAAAGGATTTGTTGGCAAACTATCTGTCCTTACTAGAAAGGAAAGACGACAGTCATCAAATTCTTTATCTGCGGGAGCTACCCCGCTCTCTTCTACCTGCGTGCGGTTTACTTGTGGTTTTGTCCTAAAAAAAAAGAATCGGCAGAATGTACATACAAAGTCAAATACATTCAAAACTGTTTACTCTTTGATGTATACGATTATATATTCATAAATATTCGAATTTTGTAAAGTTGATAAATAAACAGCCACATTTGTGATCTATTTAGAATTAATTTTTCTCTCCATATTATAAAAATATAAATAAATTATATAATTTAGATATGTATTGTCATTATCTTGTAATTATAGCAATGTATATATTTTATACAAAAAGATTATATCAAATTTTTTTATAAAATTATGTATTTCTATTGCATAAATATAAGTTTTAAAATATTTCAGCTATTGCGAGAAGTAGATAACACATGTCTTGAACAGTTTATGATACTAACAATCGATGTAATAACATTTGTTGGTATAAAGTTAAACACATACAGAGAAAACACGATTGAAATATGAAAAATTATTATTCTAAGAAATATTTTTCTTCAATATAAAGAAATTGATTTTGTAATGCACAGTTTATAAAACTGTAATAAAATAATAAAGTGTAATAATCGATTGACGGTGAAAAAGTATTTCTTATATCAGAGAGAAGCTGAATCAGTAATCCTTTCTACCATTCGCTGGGTAGAAGAAATTATACATCCATGCGTTACCTTCATTATCTTCTGAGCAAAAAAATTATGAGTAATGTAAACAAAATTATTAATAAAAATTATATAAAGTATTATAGAATGATCTGTACTTATGGAAATATATCCATAAAATGGAAAAAAGTTGAAATATAAATATTTACAAAAGTTTTCATATCTTCTTAGAGTAAGTTACCAGATATTGTCACAGATGGCGACATGAATATCTTCTTTATTGAAGAAACTGGTCAATTGATCTCATTAAGAAATACGTAAAGTTATAACAAAAAAAACTCCAAAAAGAAAATGTTTGTTAAAGAAAATTTAAAAATTTGATACTACAAATTTAAACTGATATTATATATATTATTATTTCAACGTTTCATCAGTTTAATATTTAACACCACATTGAAGATACTTCATTATTATTTAAAAATATATTGTTTCTTTTTTTAAATAAATAATCTATTTAAATATTTTTTTAGATAGTTTTACATGTTCTTTGTGTAAATACAATTGCAAAATTAATGTATTTAAAAAAATATAGATTATTTGCAAATAGATATTTATTTAAAAAAAATGTTAGAATTTTTTAATGAAGCAGGTATTCATGAAATTGGGCATAAAAGTTTTATTAAAAATCTTTCGAGTCATAGTACCAAATATTGGATTTCTTATCGCTATCACAGATTAATCACGCACGAAGTATATTTTAACAGCAACATGTACGTCAACATAAATAAATGTACGACAATATGTTTCTTTAAAATAATCATATACGAATAAACTATAAGCTATAAAATTAATTATAACGCTCTTTTTGCGTAATAAAGATATACATGTCTTAAATGAAAAACTCTTGGCATAACAAAATATGTTATGATATAATCAAAGTAATAGATTATAATCAAATTAAGATGTATTTGTATATTTAATTCTTTGAAATAATAAAACACGTGAAACTGCTAATATTAGTCATCTTAAAATACTCGAACAATAAAAAAATCGCTCTTTAACATATCACAAGTCTAATCGTAAGTAAAAATCTGAATTATCTAAAGGTAAACTATTATCTATCGATTTAAAGCCAAGTACCAAAGTAACACAGATTGTAATATTACACAGAACGTAATATTACGTAAAATTATTATATTGATGATTTCTTTATCAATGTCTATTGGTTTAGGTAAGGTATATTGCAATCAACATTTAATATAAAGACACTATTGAACAAACTTTGTAAACTACATTAAAATTATATATATCTTGTTTTTCACCCTCACTTTACTACAAGTAACACATTCTCACAAAAATTATCAGAAATAATAGATACTTAAAAATAAAAAATTAATATTTAAAGAAATTATCATTAAGAAAAATCTTTTAAACATAATCTTGAATAAAAACTCTACTATTCTCTGTTATGGTATGCGACTTATGAGTGTTTCCTTCTAATAACTTTTTATATTCTTCATTATTTATGATAACCCAACTGTAATTTGTTAAGAAATATTTTACACGATATAATACTAGTTATGATATAATTGAGATTTACTGCCAATTAGAAATTAACTTTTTCAAATTATAGAAACCTGTAAGTAACTAAAGAATAAATTTCGCACCCCATGTTTTTTATTTTCGATCAGAAAACCCACATTTGGTGCCTCAACATTTTTATTAAGATGAAAATCGGCTTTTCCTAATATGTCAAGGCAATTGTAGATTTAAAAAATGTCAAGTTCAAGACAATCTATATAAGAGGAATGCATATGATCAATTTTTTTATACATGTTTTCGCGCGCTACCATGGTCTCCACATCGGGTCGCGATCATCCACGCGCTCTACGTCGATTTCTTCATCGTCATCGGCATTAATGTTAAGTGGGTCATTCGTTTTATTCCTCGTCGTCGTTATCGTCGTCGTCGTCGGCGGTCGTCGGTCCCTCAGACTCTTCAGTTTGGCACTGTAATTTACTGTTAATTTCTCATCGTCGTTAACGAGCGATACTGAGGTCCGACATCGAGGCGTGGAGGAGGCGGTTGTTGACGCGCCCGCGTCGTGGATCCCAACAACAATTTTATCGGTGTGAGGCGTGGATCTTATCGGCGATGTGTTCGTGGAGAGTATCGCCGAGTCAATTTCGCCGGAGGTGCCGACAGGACAAGGTACCACGACGTTGGCGATGCGATCCAGATTGACCAGGGTAGGCGATAACAGGTTGGCTTTCGACTGAGGAGAACACATTTTTTATCGTCATTACGGCGGTCATTAACACTTCGCGATCATAAATCTTAGCGACTCGCGTTATTCCCGCGACTCGATAATACCCTTTTCGCCATTTTTGGGCACAACTTCGTAAGACGTAACGTCAGACGTGACTACATTTATCTATTTTTTATAAGTTTTTTATAATATATTGTACAGAATATTAATTTCTTATAAAATTGTATATAATTTATTTTTATGCAAATTTTTAGCAGAATTGCTAGGATTTGCAGAATTATACATTGAAAGATAATCATAAAACATGAGAATAGGGCCACAAAAAAGCTCAAGCAGTAAACAGTAGCATCGAACATGTTGATTTTCTTATTGCTTATGTCTTACTGCTTAAGTATTTTTGTATATCATGGCTCTATATATATATAACACAGAAAATTTACCCTACTATACGTAATTAACTATACATATAACGGTTCATATAAATACGATACAAAAAGACTCCTAAATTTTCTCAATTTATGAATATTACTCTCTGCATAATTTTCACACTTTAATCATTAGTTTAAACATTTAGTTACCAGCGTTGCAATTAAGTATATATATTAAATATAATTGCAGTAAATTGTAGGTTGCAACTCCCTCGCATACATTGTACGAACACGCGAATTCGATGTACACGCGGTGACTTTGTCATACGAGACACGTACTTCGTATCTCTTTAACAACAATAATTAGCGTTGGCAAACCAAGTCATACCGTAAACGCGATGTAATATTTTTCACCGAAAAGTGAAATGCCTCAATTAAAATTAATTTTCTTTTTGCGAACAGCTCATGCAGCGACGCGCCGGATTTAACTACGAATTAATGTATTATGAATTTATGAGACGCGATCAGCAAGAAATACGTATGTAATCGATATTCTTTGCTCGATCACTGATCACCTCGTTTATTTTTGTCGCTTTCCCTGCTGTGCCATCCATTAATTACCTACAGATCGAAAACAATAATTACCGGTGAATTTGTTTGTCGATTCGTTTGGAGACCAGCTGCGAGGTGTCTTGCCAGCCTCTCCGCGGCTTCACCTGGAAGCGACGAGAGAAATCTGTAAGCTTCCGCTGCGCAATGCCTGAAGCCGGATTGCCAGCGACTTTCCGCCGAAATTTCCTCGCCGCTCGCGATTGTCATTGATAATCCGGAGGGTCGCGAGGCCTGCAGCTTCTGCAGATGACGTACCGTCAGCTCGAGGATGTCCGCCTTCTCCAGCTTACTGATATTCTCGCCTTCGGTCTATAAATCATTCCAATTTTTTATTAGATTCATCAATTCTTATACATATTTCTCGTAAATTCATATGTATATATATATATATATATTTCATTTTTCCTGTGAAATTAGAAGTAAAATAAAAACTCGAGCATATATCGCTCATTTACTGTAATGACAACACACCTCAAAGATTATCATTTTGGAATTGCTTATAGAAAAATAAAGCGGAAATATAAAAAAAGAACATACTTTAAAATGACGTACTTTTGTTCCTCTACAATCAGTTAGTACATCAAAATTAAATTTCAAAATTGATATTACAAATTTTAATGATTTAAAATTTTCAATCTCATTTTTTTTAAGCTTTGTTTTTTTTAGTTGTATCGTTCATCGTAAATGAGCGATATAATATTGATAAGAAAATAGTTGCCGCCACTATTACGTAAAAGAATATAACGAATATTAATTTTAATAATTTTACATCAATTCTGTTTCCAATCATGTTTTAAATTACAACCAAGTGTGTAATGATCATTATATCGGCTGCAATACTCGTCTATCGTAAGTATGTACAATTTCGCGCTTCTACCGAGTTAAGTCTTCCGTTTCTGTCAGACTAGTCTCCCATCGGCCATCTGCACTAAGCATCGCGAGAAAACGAACGATTCCGCAAAAAGGAACTCGAGTTCTTCGCATTAGAAGAGAGAGAGAGAGATTACCATTAAGATGCTATCGTTACCGGCTCGTAACGCCTGCGGGGCGGTGTACTTTACGTCACTCGATTGCTCATTGCAAAAAAAAAAACGGAGACGAGCGACTCTAAAGGATCATGGACACGGCGCCTAAGCATGGAAGCTTTACGCTCGCCAGTTCACGTTTTGCGAGAAGAAGAATAGCATCCGGTCGGCGGGCATTAAGCCGTACGAAACGTGCCGATCGGACCGGGTAATGTGCCGTTGGAAAATTAGCATGGTGAAATCGGCGGTGCCTTTCACGCTGATTCAGCGAATTATCGCGCGAACGTAAGTTTCACGCGGGCGAATGTTTCGCGCGGTAAGACGGTATCGACAAATTGCCATCAGTAGTGAAGCGCATTGTAGCGAGTACCACTTAAGATGTAATGTACAGGAAATGTGTAATAGCGCTTCTTTAATGCACCATCGGTTTGCCTGTTGTTTTCAAACTCAGGGAAATCTTAGACCTCAACTTCCTTATTTTCGCCGAATACACTGAAAAAATGTCTGATAATAGCTGCCAAATATTGAGTAAAATAATCAAACGTTCAATTAATATAATCAAAAATAATTGTAATTTTCTATAAATATTTAATAAATATTATCAAACATAATAATGTAATTCACCCATGTTCGATAATAATTACTAAATAGAAAAATAAAATTATTTTTGTTAACTAAACATTTGATTGAAATCATTTTTCACTTAACTTTAGATATTACCAAACTCTTTCTTCAGTATAAAGAAAATCTAGTAATAGCTACCAAATATATTTTGTTTAGCGTATTGGTAATATTTAGAATATTTAGATATTGCCAATTATAAAGATAGTAATTAACCGTTTATTAATAATTATTTAAAAGAGTAAAGTTAGCGTTTGTTTGGTTATATTAACCAAATTGATTGAAATTATTTTACAAAACTTTAGTAACTATCACCGAGGCTTGATTATTATGAGACTTTCTTCAGTAATATATTTAACGCTAAGTGTGACTATTTAAAGTTAAATTTTAATATGCAGTACTTTACATTGTGTTTGAAAAAAATAATCTCCATAAATCTCTCATAGAGTAGAAATCACGCGTCTTTTTGTAATTATCTTGCAGCACAGAATTATATTTTCTGTGGCAAGTGCTATCTGAGAATTTAAGAGCAGAGACTGCTTTATCTTGCATTAAATAAGTTCTCTAATGTTTCAGTTGTTTATCTGAATCGCATTATCGTGGACTATCGTGGACTGTGTGGTTATGCGTAACACTGAACACGAACAAGCAATGTAAATACGAAGCGGAGCGTAACGCTGGGACGTAATTATCATTAGAGATTAGACGGCGATAATTGAGAATATTTAAATACCACGTATATGTAAAGCGCGTGTAAACGCAATCCGCTTGGCTACACACTGAATATCATTTTGTTGACACTCGTTCGCCGGGTGCAGGTTCCCACGCTCTGAGAATATTTAAAAGCAAAATCGCCTGCACGCGTAGTTGCGGCCGGAGAATGCATTTCCTGCTAGGCGCGATCCGTAAAATTGCAGCAGGGGCGGTGACGTGCAAGGGGGAGAACACTCGGTATCATAAATAGAGTCGGTGGGAGTCGAGCAAGAAACACGCGTTTCCTCCGAAGGTTCGAGAGGAGGAAGAAAAAAGAGAGCATAGCACGTGCTCGCTGAACCAGGCTACAGTATCGGCACCAAGATTCTTGCGTTCGGAAATGTCGCCACCTTTTCTCGCCGTTAAACAATTTATCTCGATCGTGCGAAAGAAGGAAAAAAAAGGATCGCGCGCAGAGTGAAAGTTAATTGCCACACACAAAAAAGTTGCAAACGCGTGAAGTCGCGTACCATTATTACAGTCAACCACGTCTCTCGCGTAACTCATAACACTCAAAAAACTTTTCAAAATAATAATATTGATTTTAGAATATAAAGAAAGACGTTACTAAATACGGTAGTATTAGTCTTTCTCTTCCTGTACGGAAAGAACGATTTTGCTAAAATATATAAAAATATATTTGACAATAATATTGTTGAATCGTCAAAATAATTTCTATAAGAAATTTAAGCATGATGAACAGTACTGCGAAAAGTTTTGATAATCTAGCAACCAGCTTGATCATTCTATATAATTATTTTGATAGTTCAATAATTTATTTTCAATATTACGTAAAGATCGACCGATGAGATTAAACACACATGAGTGAAAAATGCTACATTCGGTCAAGACGATTTTTCGTGCCTAAAAATATTTGTGAATTTATATAATTTCTAATTCAAGCTAATTGTGCGCCGATTATTTTTCTTGAAACACTTTTTCAAATTTATTTTCAGATATGTATCTATAGCTAAATTTTAAGATATTTTAACAAAGGTAGCTTCAGGTTAAAATAGAATTTAAACAGTTGTATTTTGTTGCTATCAGTTTAATGTTACGCAGCTGCTGTTTCAAATTATAATATTAAATGTTTTATACCAAGAATGAAAAAGTCAGCACACCTACCTCCAGTGCGTCCACCATAAGATCCTTGAGCTCGTCGAGACAACGATTTATTCGCGCTCGTCTCTTCCTTTCCAAAAGCGGCTTTGTTATCTGGTTATTAAACATTATATTTTATTAATCGATATCTCGGCAGCTGCTTCAAGCATTCGCGTATCGACCAAGCTCGGTGAAATCTTTCGCACCTCGATTTTGCATCTCTCAACGCGCGTGTTCGATCGTTTATCACAAAAATTACTAATTTATGACGGGACGCGCGAAGGCGGGAATCGCGGCGCCGAAGCGACAGAATGTGAGTAATAATCGAGCTGCACCGTCGCTTTATCGTTACATCTCCGGCATTAATTCAAGAATGAAATCTTCGATTTGTATAACTTGAACATCGCGACGAGCCGCGCGCGAGAGTCACGGTCTCTTGTTATTTCATCGCGGCACCGAGGCAGCCCGAAAGCAATGATTTAACTTCAATTAGCGATAAATTTACAATTAGCGGTAAATTCATTCTGCGCACCATTCCTTATCGATTACGATTTCTTCGATTAAACCGCGAGAAGAAGTACGAATTTATGGCTTAAGACACCAGGTGCCATGTCGCCGAAGAAAAAATAATCAATTGCTGATGTCGCGCCACAAATGTACGCCTGCGATGAAACACTTTATCAAGTACTCGCCTACTCGAATATCGATTTATCGAATGGTAAATGAAAATTGAAATCATCGTATACAAATGGAATTATTATGTCAATGACCACGTTCAGCAGAACGTTTATTTTGCAACTGTTGGACGTTTTCTTTATACTAGTTGGATTATATTTTTAGAGAAATAGTCCTATTTCAGCGAAGAAAATTTCTAACAGTTGCAAAATAAACGTTCTACTGAACGCGGCCCAATATATCCTTCGTATATATTTCTCAAACTTAGCTCATATTATCGACGTTACGTGTACTTGCCATTATTAAATATTACTTATAGATACTGTATCAATGTTACCGCCCAGCACGAAGCTAATTAACCGTCGCTAAGCAATCATACGCCTCTAATTCTAAAAATAGATCTTTATGTGCCGTCGGCAATTGATGAATGTGACTCATATGTGAATTTTGATTTGGTTTGAAAAATAAACAGCTGCGTGAACTTGCACAATCTCTCTTGCGTACGTAATTAAATATTAAATATATCAAATAGCACCTAATTGCCCGCCATTATACATTTCTAATTCGCATTACAGTTGTACAAAAAAAAATATGTACTTATCGTTTATGCTTAACTATATTGATTGCAATACCTTCTTGTATTGGTACGTTCTCGAAACCGGATGAGGATAATCGTACGACATCATTGCAGGTGGGAAAGATATAAATCCAGAAAGGGAACTAGAAACTGCAAAAGAGAGAAGCAATCGATGCAGCGATATATAACATAAACAGATTCTATGATAAAGTAAAATATCGCAATAACAAGAACAGGACTAATTAAAGTCTGAGCACAGTTGTAAGTACATGATTATTTATAATATAATAAATAAAAATGTCATGAGAGACAGTCACAGGAACATTGAAAAATGCAAATGCAGATGTTTCAATATATTTAGTCTACTAAACATCTTCTAAGTTCAAAATCTTTTTCTTTTTAATTTACAGCTAATTTACAGTCTATGGTTAGTTATGTGAGAATAAATAATATTGAATATATTATCAGCAATTAAATACAATCATTAACGAAGCTAAATATAGCCAGTAAAACAGGATGGTAAAATGTATAACGAAAATCAAATGCAGTTTCGCTAGCAGCCAACAAATTTATTCAATAAATAAACACTTGAACGTCATTGGCAAGTGCCAGATGATCAATTCTGGTACGATTTATAAAGCCGTAGATCAAATAGATATGGACAAACGAAAACCGGCATTGAAAATTTTATTCACACTTCGACAACCGTGTAAAATATTCATCTCTAAAATTAATACGTCTATACAAAAATATTAATTGCAATTTGAGAAATATCATACGTAAAAGTTAACTTTCTCACAAAGATATGAATGATCATTTTTGTAGGTTTCAAGAGAAAAAAATTTAATTTTAGAGAGAGAGAGAGAGAGAGAGAGAGAGAGAGAGAGAGAGAGAGACGAAAGATAGCAATCTCTAGTAGTAAAATCTCTAATGTATAAATAACGTATAGAAAATGATAGAATTTTAAGCAGAAAAATATATAAATAAAACATATATATATATACCTTTGTTAAAACTGGTAACTCCAACAGCGGATGACAATTATGAAAATCGTCATTTGAAGATAATTACTAGAGACACTGGCGTATGAAATGTTGAAGACTACCGCTTTGTTTATCCCGTCAAATAAACGAAATCGCATGCGATGGTATCGTCCTTGAGATTTTTGCTAAATAGTCCGATCATATCACGAGCCGATTTGCCTTACGGCGTCTCACCGCGACATTTTACATCTTCCGTGTCGAAATGTAAATGAATAAAATATCGGATAACTTATGTATATCGACGATACGTCGAGCGAATTGACAGGTCGGGACGGGCTGACATTAGACACACAAGCGGGTGCACTTGGTGAAGTCTCTACACCAACTGACTCGATGCTCTCCGCAGCCATTCCGGCACAGGCTACCCTCACCCGGCTACGAACCCTCCGGAGAAGTTACTTTGGATAGGAAGGTCGCTCCAAATGCTTCGTTGTGTTGTACTCACATGAACGCACGCGCGCAACTGTGTGCCGATGGGCTGACAAAAGTACGAGGGGCTGCTATGAGAGAATAATTCAAAGTCAATATATTTCAACACTATCAAATTAATTACGTCGAACTTTCTCATGAAAATCGCACGAAATCTCTTTTCGTATTTTGCAATCTTTCGTGTAATAGATTCTATTTTTAAAAAGGCATGTAAATTAAGTTAATTGTTCGTAGATATCAAAATTTATCGTTGTCGATTTTCCGCGATGTCGATTGATCCTTGCTGCTCTCTGTTATTACTGTTATTAGAGAGATTTTGACTTGAAGATAAAATTTACTAGATTAGAAATTAGAAATTTTATATAATAAATAAAAATATACGTACACACATATACATATATTATATATATATATATATATACGCACATATATTCTTTTTAAATTAATTATAATTACATTGAATTAAACACGTCAATTATAAAAATATTTATGTAATTATATAATTCAATAACTAAATTACATTGCATAATTCAAAATTATTTAAAGACATATTTTTATTACAATTCTAAAGGTAACATAAATTTTATCATTATAAAATGTAGATATGTTTTGCGAATACATATTTAAATGATATATAATTTAATGTTGTACAATTAACGCTCTATTATTGAAATGTTTCTTTTTATATAAAATAATATTTAACAGAAAGTTCGTACTTAAAATTTCAAATATGCTGATAGAAAAGACATGACGCACAGCATATTATTACAACATGCTGTAAACATCATCGCCAGAATATTGTTTATAGAGATACAAATCAAAGGTTAAATGATAAGCATGTTTTGAACTAATTGTATGACAACGTCTATATATAGTGCTTCATATAAAGGAGTTTGCAGATAAAAGGAAACTAATAATAATAATGTGGCATTACAATCGTTGAGAGTTATAGAATATAGACCTCTTAATTTCTTAACTGCTTCAACACTTTCATTAATGCTTTAACTGAGAAATTTATATATATCTATATATGTGTGTGTATGTGTGTGTATCCGACTATTGTAAGATCAAGAATCCTGTATTTATAAAAAGTGCAATATAGATGACAAAATCATATGATATATGTATATTTATCAATAATAATCTATTAACTTTTTTATTGGAAACTAGCATGTTACCATATTTACTTAATGATTTTGACTTCTCTATCCAAATTTAATTTTTTCTATGATGAATCTTGCAGACAAACTATGGACATGAAATAAAAGTGGAGGGTGATAAATTTAAAATACTTACCACAATAGATGTGCATTTACCACTTGATCCAAAGCACTATTCGGGCCGTTTAGGAGAGTCTCTCCTATTTTCGGAAACAACGGAGATAAACCTAATTAACATTTCCACTCAATACACTGAATTATACAATGACACTTATGATTTTTTCACGTTACGTGAAAATCTGAATTAAATTTAAAAAATATATAGTTTATATATGTGGTATCTAAGTACATATAAATTCTTTGTTTAACTTATGTCAATAAATCTTCTTGTAGAATTTTATTTATACTAAATAGTTGATCAAATTAAATACTTGAAACATTACAAAGGTATTGTTAAATAGCAATTGATAAAATTATGACCTTTTTTGTCTTCGTTATTTCTACAGCAATTTGTGATATTTATCATGATATCACTGGATATCACTCTCTTACTTCAAAAGTGATACAACTCAAAAAATGTAATTTTCGAGTTTATTACTATAAACGAGTTAAATAAACTTTACCCTATCGATCATTAAAAGTGAATTTAAATGTTATCAAAGTCGTCAACTCAAAAAGAATAATTTATTAAAAATCGTCAAAATTATCTCAACTAAAAAACGGTGATTTTTTTAAGAGTGAAATGAAAATGACAAAAATAACATTTGATCATATTAAAATATATGGTCCTTTTTGCCGATATTATATGATTACTCAATAATTCTCTGTTCAGTCGAAAAAATAATTTTTCCTCTTTTCTAGAAAATTCAGTTTTTTTAGTTGTGTCACTTTTAAAATAAGGAAGCAATATCCAACATAAGTACTCTGATTCCTCTTATCATCGTACACCTCGTTTATTCACTGAAGAGGATGTAACTTGTTCAAGTTGTTCAAGTTCTAGACTTAAAATAAATAAAGAATTAATTAATATTTATTAAATAAATAATTAATGTTTATTATATCAATTTAATTAATAAATAATTAAAAATATAGATATTCTTTTTTCACAAATTGTTAACTGCCAATGTAGATCTTATTTCTGATTTTGTTTGTTCGTCAACTGATACATCGCGGATGAAGATGGGGGTAACTTAAATAGTAATTACTATTTAAGTTACGTCGTATATACGATAATTAATGCTCTGCGTGGCAAATGGGATTGGATTACTAATTTTACACGCGCGTCCGTTGGCGCACGCTCGCGTCGAATTTGTTTGCAAAATATAGCGATCGTGCCGAGTTCGCAATGCGCCCGTCGTAACACGAGCTATCGTATTCAATGAAAGCAAGCAACGTTCAATCAGAATGCCATTACCACATATCCGTCGATAATGAGGCGGAAACTGCTATGGCACGTTTGGCGCTTCTGTAGAACGCGATCGTGTTACATTCGTCAATGTTTTTCTCCTTCGCTTAGATACTAAGAGCTTACGATTGCAAACTGGATTGGTTTTAGACAAAACTTGATATCCTTTTCCTGAGCAGTGATAAACAGAGAAGGTGCAATGAACGAGTTATGATTAGAAAAATAGCACAAAAAAACAGAGATTGCATAGCTCATCTTATAATTACATGCATAATTTTGCAAATTCTTGTATAATATTTTAAACATTCTCTAAACGTGAGATCGGAGAGATTTCATAAAACTTCAACCTCAAGCTATAATCACGACATCTCAATCGTTTCCATCCGCTTCGTCGGCAAATCATCCATGTTGATAAGAGTTCCTTTTATTATCACATGCACTGCTAATTAATATAGTGCAAGTAACCGAGTCGTAAGCATCATATGTACGGCAAAAATGTCGTAAAAGGTAATACGTCGTCCTTGTGATTGCGACGATAGCGTGAATCCAAATGAGCAGTCCGCTGTAATCGCATCTCGCAACTCTAAAATTATCGTACACCTAAATTGTAAAGTAGCTCGTCAGCGATTACCTCTTCATTAACTTTAAGGCTATCTTAATGCGATTACGAAGACAGCTGGTTTCCTTTGGTGCAAAAATGCTGCTCTTAATCGGGATATCTTGACTGGCAAAGAACTGGAATTTCGTCTGGAATATCGATGACAACTAATTCGAGAGTAATACGGTAATTTAAACGTTAATATTTATGTTAAAATAGAAATGGGCAATAAAAGAAGATACGCTATGATCAGAGGATCATTTTTAAAAAACTTTTAAAAACACGTCCCAACACGCAAGATAAATTATTTACAATCGTCGCTTGTGCTATTACTTCAATATATTTGCGATACTTGGTAATCAATAATTACCAGTGATATCTCGTCGATGAGCGTCGATCGCGTTTCGTGCCGTGTTTTGACGTTCCACTTCGTGACAGCGCTGAAAAGACACCATTGTGGAGGCTTCAAGAGGCGCGTCTGACGTCCACGGGATTTCGGCTGCTTCATTCGAGATGATAAGTCGAAACTCATTAAGATTATCTCTATGTACCGGAGCTGCCAGATGCTCAAGGAACTGCAGATACGCCGCGCCGACTGCATTTGCACTTGGCGTTTCCTTCTGGAGCTGCTTCGTCGCTCATGTCAACGAGGAATTTTTATAGAGATGATTTCTGGGCTACATTGAACGATTAGTGTCATGACGGCGCTACAAGATTCTTCTCTCTTGGAGTCTTCTGTTACAGATAGACCAGTACTTGACACGTCGAGGTGTGCGCGTCGAAAATTTCCAAAGCCATGTGTTCCATTAAAATGGAAGGTTGAAAGTACCGAGGGACCAAATGACTCGATGCACAGCTTTTACTTCTTTCGATATATTTCTTGATTAATAATATATAACTGTGCAAATTTAATTAATTCAATAGATCATTTAGATTTAATAGTAATTTCTAAAAAAACGTTTTTCAATATTGTATACTTTTTGCTTTATACATACTTGCGTGATGAACGTAAATCGTTATAAAAAATCAATGCTCTTGAAATTTTATTTTCAGTCGCTAAACTATATTTTTGTACGTTCTAAGCCAGTGATGCACAACCTGCGGTCAGCCTATGAATTTTTTGCAACTCACCGGATCACAGATAAAAATATATTTTTTTATTTTATGCAAACAAAATATTATGCACTCGCAAGGTTTTACCTATTTCTAAAAAAACAAAAACTTTCATTAATATATCGATAAATTGCATTTAAAGGTTCGTAAAGGATAACCATAAAAAAAAAGAAAATGTTAAACAATATCCGTACAAATCAATATTTTACAATAATTTACATTTTTTCGCTGCTGCGGTAAAACACTCTAGAAAATCACTCTCGGATTAAACAAGGTTGCGCATCACTGTTCTAAGCCATTCTAAGGGCGTATAATCGTACGATCTACTACTCTTTTTACACAGCGACGATTCGTGTGTACAGATTGTATCCGGTGCTGTCATTCACGAGACGTGCAGACGCGCTCGATTCTTCGGCGTGCTTTCATTGACGCCAACCGACGTATTAGAATCCGACACGAGTCGTAAACATTCGCACGCTTCGCGTAGCGGCCCACGATACGGCACAAGCGATAACAAGCGGTCTGATAACGTAGTGAACGATATTGCACGGGCGGTTTCAACGTCGGATGACATCAACTAATTATTGTTTTCCTTCCTGGTATT